CTGGTCAAAGGACTGTTCAGGTTGAGCCCTCAAGGTCGCTCAAACCTTTTTCTGAGGACCCTCTGTCACACTAAATTCATACCAAATATACATGTCATCTTTTCAACCCTTTTGACGCCGCTTCAACAGCTTTTGGAGCGCTGCGTTGGCGTATGGCTAATTCATATAGTTTGATTTGCATGGCATCACCCTGGTCGAGGTACTCCTTCTGTCCCAACTCGTGCTGCAGGTTCAATCGGACGCCTCGCCCACTTTCTTTATGCAACGACTTCAAAAATGCTTCGTCAGTCGGTAGGCGTCAACTTTGCTCTTTCGATATTCCTGGCATCTCCTAACTGCCCGTCGTCTCGGCTCGTCTGCAGCTCAGCTTCCGTTTCAGCTGCTTTGCGGCTCAGCTTCTCCACTGTGGCCCCTTGTGGGTTGCGGCCATGGTCTGGATAGCAAGTGACATGGAGTACATGGCCATGAGACCATTGGTGAAACAGCCGCGGCTCAAAAAAACATCAGTTCTATGATGCACGTGCCTGCATCAACAGGGAACTAGCCCACATTTGACCAATGCCACTTCTTCACCGCCACTTTCCTGTGAGGTCCTTGAGATTTTACATAATTCGGGATCGGAATTGTCCCCAAACGATGAGGGTCTCACCTAATGATGTGCACTTGGAGTACCCCCTCTGTAAATCTGTCAATCAACCAATTCAAGGCTGTAAGGCGCCATCGATGGTCTCACCAACTCAACCTCCAACTTCCCATGAAGCCACTTCGTTAAGTCCAAAGCTGCCGGTCTTGCCGATGAGCTCTCCCAATTGCTGCAGGTCGTGGTTGCCGCCCTCCAAGAGCCTCTGCACGGAGCTTTCAATCCTCAGGATGTGGCAATGTTATGCAAAGTCGGTCTCTGCTTTTGGACGGAAAATATTCGATTTCGATTGGGAGTATGCGACAGTGCTGGCAATGTCAAACATAGGCCAGGGAGTCCTACCAACCACCTGGAATGGACCAAGTTTTAGGTTCATCATGGGACTGCGAATACCGTGTGAGGCGAGGTCCAAGCTTCGTTAGTGCAGATCTTCGTCTTTGAACAGCGTTGCTACAGGACACGTCCCTCTGATACAAAAAGTAGCTTGATGCTTAGGACAAACACCTCTCCAGTTGTTGAGTCTTGATACTCTGGTCCTTGTGTTTGGCAGCCAAGTCTAAAATGTCTAAATATCAACTGGCTCACAGAAGCCTGAGATACTTAATCAGATACTTGGGGTTTGTGGACGCCGAGATTGACCTCCATGCGAACTCATGCGAACTCTGTGAGCTCGGCCACGCGACATAGTTCAGAACACTCCAGTCACTCCAGCATCTACCAGTTCTGGCTTGGGCATTGTCAAGTCACACCCCACCAACAGCTTCACCAAGACGCTCGTCCACTGCTTGGGTCGTCCGCTTGAACTCCGTCATGTGATTCGTCGCGCCCGGAAGGAGTCAAGATGGTTCACCAAACGAACAACTCTGGTCTACTGATGGTGGACCATCAGCTTCTCAAGATGGGGTGAATCTGATTCTACATTATGTTTCTCAAGTTTGCAGTATTTAGCCGGTATGCTGGTTTTTCTGGTTTCATATTCAGCCATTCTTACCCAAATCCTGTTTCTGGTGTCATGTGTGGTCTTGAGAAAACGAGTTCCCTCTGCTAAACCACACAAAGCAGCTCTCCTTTTTCCTGCAGGGAATGATCGAACAAACGGAAACACTCATGGACTCAATATCCACCAAAACAAATGCTGGGTCCTGGCTTGGTCCACAGTCACAAGAGCGATCGGCATGATCGGCATCATCCACTTTAAACATGAAACAAACACGCACGCACGCACGTATGGGCAAGAGAAACGGTGCATCTACAATTTGTCTGAAACCACCAAGAAACAATGATGACACGCATCGAAAGAAAAACACACAAACACACACCTTGCTGGGAAAGGTTTTGAATTTTGGATTGAAAGCAAATCCTTTAGGGTCCATAAATGTCCATTAGAATTTCTTGGAGAGTATGTAGTGGCATCAGGGGAAGCTCCTTGTCCCGTTTTCAAAGGGGAAGCTCGAAACGCCTGGGAACCGAAAAGCGAAGAAAACAACTCAAAAACTGTTTGTGTCCTCCTGCATAAAGAGATGCAGTACCATGAGATACCTACATAATCCTACTATTTAAGGGACCCATACAGTACCATGAGATACCTATGAGATACCTATAAATTTAGGAGACCAAACACTGAACAAAGATGAACAATCACACCGCCCCAAATCCGTTCTTCGCCACAATCCGCCCATGGCCCCCCGTCTCCGCCTGTCGGAAGCGCGTGGTTCTGGCGGCCTGCTTCGACCTTTTTTGGTCACGGGTCACGGCTGGTCCCGGACGGAGAAGGCGTAAGGCACCGGGACTTTCTCTGCATGAAAAGAAGAGATACCTTCCTTCTCTGCAGGGAAGTGGATGGCATGGCCATGCATGGCCCCGAAAGGAAGACGACTTTCCGAAAGACGAACAGGGGGTGAACTCCACTTCCCATGTTAGTGAGTCGGAGTGTACATCTAAAGGACTAAGAGGCCTAGCCTAGTGCTTTGGGGTGTCCTTCAGGTGTGTTGGGTGACAGTATAGGCAACCTGTCTGGCTTCTTCTGAGCTACTCTCCTTTTATCCCCAAGCATGGTGGTGGAACAAACAGGTCCGTCTTTGAGATTTGTTTCTGAACACCTCAATTTGCTTTCTGTTCAGATTGCTACAAACAAAAGAAAGGAATAAAAAGAGTCGCTTGAGGTGACTTTCGAAAAGGAGAGTGGACGACTTCCATTCCGAGCCGTTCAAGCCCCTGCAGTTTCTGAATTGTCAACCTTGCAGGAAATTCGTTTCCTGGAAAACTGCAAAGGAAAATTGTGAAGCCAGCAGGCCTTACTCCTCCACCGTGAACAACATGGCCCAAACAATTCCCCCAAGCAAGCAATACACCCGATCAAAGGCAATAAGATCAAAAGCATGGAAGTGGATGGCATGCCTTCTGGAACATCAATGTCCCTGTACAAACAAGGTTTTTTCATGTGGTTTTCCACTTTCGTGTGATCTATATACACGTGTTCGATCTTTTTAACCACTCAATGACACTCAGGATCTCGTTTCTGCCGATTCCCCCCGAAGCATTTGGATGCATTTGGCACGCGAGCCAACTGGACAAAGTGCGACAAGTTCCGGACCTCGGCCGGGCAGGTTGGAGTTCCGAGAGGCTTCCTGAGAACTGCCTGCCAATCTCCACTGCCTGAAGGCCCCCCCGGTCTCACAGAAATATGAGATGCTTGACTCGACAGGACTCATTAAAAATAACTAAATTATGGCCATGAGTCGCTGTGGCAGCATGGCCATATTTACTGAAGGGTCAAAGCGGGCGGCAGAGTCAGTAAGCATTAGAAGTATCGTATGTTCTGCAAGTTGGGGAACCCACATGGCCGGTACAGGGCTTTTGACTCAACTCATCCCTGCATCCATCAGGATCGCCCTGCCAAGTGCAGAACCGCCGTGCCGTTCACCTCCGAGACCACGGGAGCTCCCACCCAGCCGCTGTCATATCCTCCCAGGTTGTTTTTTTGCCCGGTGCCTAAGCTAGCCTATATATCCTGGGAAGAGGTGGAGATCAAGGGGATATCCACAAGCGATATCATCAGGTCGGAGATCATCAAATGCCCCCACAACCTCCGATCTCTTGTCAAACAGCAAGCGCTAACATGCATGTGCTAACTGCATCTGCCATCTGCTCCGGAATCGTCCAAGCTCCCCCAGCCGCTCCTGCATTGACCAGGTCCGCCAGAATCTGCGCCAAAATCACGGCCTCATTCCGCTCGGGGGTGGCGTGGCCACCAATGAACAGCTCCTCCCGTTGAAACGGTCGGGCGCACGCTTCACGCTTCACGCGTTCGTATGGAAACCTGGTGGCTTCGGGGGATGGGCGGTGGATGAGGTCGTGACGTTTGCCAGGCTTCTTCATGCTTCTTTCGAAGATGGAGGATGGATGGAGGATGGATCCTTGAGAAAGTTGTGTGTGACCCCTGGCATCACAAGGGCGGGCAAATGCACTGAGCAGGAGGGACAGGCTCATGGTGGCTAGGTAGCGCCAATGAAGCTACAGGAAGAAGCGGAGGCTGAGTGTACCCGCAAGTTGGTGGTGTTGTTGTGTAACTGTGCTGAAACCAGGCTCCACCAGTGAGACTCTCAGATTGGGCAGTCAGTAGAAAAGGATACAAAAAGTGGATGCTGAAAGAGTCCTAACTTTAGCCCACTTTAGCCATGTTATGGCCTTCAACCATGGTAAAAAAATCCGTTAGGCAGCCAGTTACAGTAATTCTCTTGTTGCACCGGGTGAACCCGGTCGGTCGGTCCTGCAAATGGGCCGGGCGCTCGTGGGCGGCCCAGCCCTGCAGGTATTCGTTGCCTCGGTTCGACCGAAGCGGACTATGGTGGGAGGAGGCGACTCCTTGGAGGAGAGTATGTGGTTCTGGCATTGTGCGGAAAGGAGCGTGGTACTCAAAAATGACTCAAAGATCAGGACATACGAAGCTTATAGGCTTATAGGGCAGGTCTCAGGAACTGCTGTGGCGGAGCCAAGCAACATCCTTCAAACAATGGACCTCTCAATGGGGTGGGGGAAAAAAACAGCAACTCAAAATAACATAAACAAACAATTTGCAACCTACCAATCGAACTCCTTCAAAGCATCCCAACATTATATCAAATTAGATCAACAGGGATCAAGCTACTTTGAGAGCTGGAAGTGTTGATACAATATTGGGATGCACTGAATGAGTTCGAAGGTGCAGGTTGATCGATGTTGATCGGTTGATTCATGTTGATTCTTTAGAACATCCCTCAGGCCCCCTAATGTCCAAAAACATCCAATGTGTGCACTAGGCCTCGGCACTTCACAGAGTGGCCCTTCCCATTCTCTGCCCAGTGAGAAACCGGCGCTCCTCTTTTGGACTCAACTGCGGCTCCGCAGTTGCACGACAGCTTCCGTTAAGCTTCCTCCTCGCTCCAGTCCAATGCTTCCTTCACATACTTGTAGCCCAAGCCCAGCAGCGCCAAGACGGGTGGGGCAGCGCCCACCTGCCAAGGCAGCCATTCCACCTGGGGCCAGGCGAGGCGCCACCGCAACAGATGCGTAAAAGCACTTCTTTCTAACGCACGTGGCAGTCATTGTGGATGGTCTATTTTCTAAAATCCATCATGATGAAAATACTTGACCATCCTGCCAGGGCGGTTATGTTCATTGCCTGTTGATGCTTGAATCAACATGTCCAAAGCAGCACCATTCATTTCCCGAGCACCCTTCGCTCCTTCCCCCGCTGTGCACGCTCTCTCCGTCGTGTGCTCCGAGGGGCATATCCCACACCGCGGGCCATCAAGGTGGCGGCTAAAGGGATGGAAAACACGGCCAAAAGCTGAGCGTTGATCACCTGAGCCAAGCGGGGCGTCTGTTGGCCTCCAAACCCGAACCAAACAGATCTCTGTTTTGAGGGATCGAACAAGATCATGTATATAATGCAATATAATGTATGTACTGTACACAGTGGTTTCAACATGTAGCAAAGCATGTCTGATTACCTCAGTAATTCTATCCTCTTGTGCACTTCTCACCATGAGCAATGCAGGTGGAACACCACAACATGGAGGAAAAGCTATTCAGTCCTTTGGTGAAGTTACCTTTCTGGCAGATTTCAGGTCCCTCAGCTGAACTGCTTCGCGCGACCTCTGCGCCTGTGAATTGGCACGACCTCTGCATGTGCAAGTGTCTGTGAGAATATGAACGCGCGGCGACGGGGGTCAGCTGCAAAAAAAAGCACGCTGTGGGAAAGTGGGTCATCTGAAAACCACCAGATTTGTAGAGTCGTAGAGGGGCATCATCTTCTGATGGGTTGGCATGTTCAGGTTCCATGTTGACTTCTAGTAACCTCTCGCAAGAAATCCATTTCCTTGTGCCAGGGGCCGGCTTTTGATATACTTGGGTTTGGTTTCGGGGGTCAAGTCAAGAACCCCACTGCCTCCCGCCAAACCTCTAATGGGAAAATGGACCCTTTGGAAGGAACGTTTCCCACCATTCCAGTGTTTACTTTTCGACAATCTCTAACAATTGAGTCACGCTGGTCAGGCGCTGCGTCAGCTTCTCGCTGAGCGGCGCAAAGGAGTCCTGAAGGGGCCAGTCGGTATTGGATATTGGAACTTGTTCGCTTGATTCATTGATATTAGTTGAATTTACTTACAGTAACCTAAATGTATAGCAACAGTATAGTTGGCACAGTCGTCCCAGCACCTCTAGGTCAACAAACTTAGAAGCACAAAGAGGAGATTGGACAACAATTCTCACAAAATGGCCTCATCATATCTCCCCAAATCTCTCACCAACCAGATTCTCTCATCTCCCCTGTCACCACTCGCCCATTCGCTTTTCCATCTTTTCCACAGTGTGCCGCCTCCTTCCTGGCCAAATATCGCTTCACCAGGGTGGTCGTGACGAAGAAGCTGCTGGCACCGGCCACCGCAGCCAATGTCATCTTCAGCCAGAAGATGGGTTCGTGCCTAGGCGTGCTTGACGCACAAAAGTGGATGAACCGGGATGAAGCGGGTGAGGTGCCTACGGAGCAGGCTTCGAACACCAAATGCTTCTCCGAGCAGCTGGTAGAAGTCCCAGCCCTTCCTCAGTTCAACCGCGCACTTGCGACACAGAAACCTGCAGGCTCCTAAACGTTCTTAAATGCCATGTCATAGCGGGGTCCGGATCTGCATGCTCCCCAACAACCATTGGACCAAAACAGTTCCCAAAACGATGATGTGAACAATCTGGGAAGCTGATGCGGAACATGCGCAGTACATCCAAGAGTCCCGTAGCTGGTCACCCTCAAAACTCCAGTGCCCAAAAAGAGCACTGCAGCTAGGCCGTAGACTGCATCCACCTGGACGAGTTTCTGCTCCTGCAGCTCTGCAACTCTTTCCTCTAATATCCTCTAATTAATATACTATGTACATATATGAAGAGGATCTTCCTAAGACCCTCCTACGGACTAAGAATTCAAAACCACCCAACAATACCCAACACCAAACAGATTCAAGCAGTATGCATGTAGGACAACAGCGCGAGTCCCACGAGTTTTCCGAAGATCAAACCAAGTCCTAACACCGGCCCTCTTGGCCCCCATGAGTCTCCTCGTCAGCACTGAGGCCCGGCTTCACGAGCAAGCGCTCAGACACAAGGCAAGCGACAGACAAAAGGAGCGCCAGGTAGTGACCATAAGCCACCAACGCACCAGGCACATCATCCTAGCGCCGGAACCGGTATTGTGTATGGAAGATAATTATGCTTACATTGAATCATTGAACCCCCCAAAAAACCACCCCACTGCAAAAAGGGCAGTCCCATGGAGTGTCTGGGAAATGGCCCAAAACATTCAAACCCCCCACCGCGGTTTTCTGTTTTCGTGTGGGCGAAACGTTAAAAACATGTTTCAAGCGGTTTGGTGGCCAATTTGTTGGCTGCCTCGTCATCCAAATCCAATGAATCATGATTGAATTGAACAAACTGGCTTCATCCATCCCAAAGTTCTCTCCTCTGCATGCGCCGGCGCCGCGACCAATGATGGCGCCAAGGCCAACGGCGCCGGCCACAAACGGTCTCTGCGCACCTCATCCGCGACGTTTGCCGCGGAATGCACGCGCTGTGCAACATGTGGTGGCGCTAGGAAGGCGGAGCCAGCGGCCAAGAGCAACAAGGGCAAGGCATGGCTGGCACGGGACGGTCTCCGCACGTGCCGCATAGCTGCCCGGCTGGGGTTTTCGTCCCGGTGAGCTACAGGCTGCGTGGGCCGTCGTGGGATGTGGAGCGGCGAAGCTGCATTTCATTGCCACTCGGAACCGACGTTCGAGGATTGTGTGTCAGCACCCCTACTGATGGAAGGGTTCCTATAAACCGCCTCATGGCCCTTGGCAGGCTTAATCAAAGAGTTTATACATATACATATATGTATATATATGTATATATATATATAGTGAGAGCTCGACGTTATGCGGGTGTGGTTTTTACGTGCTTTTGTGGTGTTTTTTTTAGATTTTGTCATGTTTAGTCAGAGTTTCCATGGTTATAGTCTAGATATGTTCTTGTGCTCCTGTTTCCTAAACAAAACCAACTTTTCTTGTTAAAAAAACCTCTGGATCCAACTCTACCCTTCCTTGCCCATAAGCATTCTCATTGTTTCAAAGGTAGCACTTTTTGGGCTTCTCCCTCCACATTCTTTATGAAATGGGCTTCTCCCTCCACATTCAAACACAATGTGCCCACCACGCCCAACAAAAGTTGAGAAACTTGCTTAGTAGTACTGGACCTGGATGACTGATTGGAATTGGGTTTTGCATGGCCTTCTTGACGTCCATACCCATAATAAGCCTCATCCTCATTCTCAGGGTCACTTGGGAGCTCACATCCTATCCCACAAGTTCGATTGGACCAATCGTGCTCATCTCCACTGCTCTCACCCAATGGCTCTTCAGATCTATGCTCCATATCCCCCCATCTATGACGAAATCTTCCAAAGAATCTTATGAAGCCCATGGAATGATCCAGCCTTAGATACACTGAGGGTCTGAGTTGGCTGTGTGGCCACTACTCATTCCCAAGGCTACCTTCTCTTCACCCTAACCTTCTTGCCCACACATAGACATACATGAAGTCAGGTTGTACCAAACCTGGCATGCTCAGCATGCTCCCAATATTCACCCAACATTGCCAAGGACATTCTCGCGATGCCACCCAAGCTCAAAACCTCATTGGACCTCACCAACACCCACCCAAAAGTAAACCAATAGATTGTGCAAAAAAAATGCCCTACCAATAGCATGAATCATAAGGAGCAACCAATGTTGTACCCAAATGGTTCTGATCTTCCATTGGGCCACCTAATCATGCACAAACCCATTTGCACCAGGCATTCCATAGGCATTCATGGACCCCATCCCCATCATTGATTGCCCAGCAAGTTTCCCTCTCACATGGTGCCCATGTGTTCTTGGAGGACAATCAAACCCAATCGAAGCACCATCCATATTGTGCTGCTGTCTAGAGCATTTGCTCAATGGCTTGTATGGCAAAACAATTTGCTCAAAGTCAGGATCCCAATCTCTCGTGCCCAGGTGTTGCATCTACGCAACCGCCTTTGGTCTCAAATGGAATTGCACGCATACAGCCACAAGCCCAATGCCAGCTGTTTGATGCACCCAATGCTTCATCTCATCTCACATCTCATCTCATTTCATCCACATTGGAAGTTCCATTTTCCTATGCTCTCTAGCTATATGCCCATCTCTCTCTTTCATTGGATATCTTAAGCCATCAAATCAAGACAATCTTCCACACTCCATCATTGAGACCATACAGTATAGGTATCCACCCTCACCACATAGAGCCTACAGTATATACAAGTGCTTGCAGGAGCAGACAGCTGTGTCTTCAAACAGACGAGAGGAATATAAGAAGTTGTGGTGGAATTGCTACTCTTACACAGGTAGCTATAATGAAATCAATAATCTTGACTATCTCTAGCACCTGGGCCACTTCCAGCTCGTGGAATTGACAATGAGTCCTCAATCTCCAGCAAGTGCGGCCTGGGCCTGGGCTTCTCTAGGGGGGGGGGGGGCCAAAAAAAGAAAAAAAAAAACCCCTGGAAATTGGAAAAAATTTTTTTTTTTTTTTTGCCCCCCCCCCCCCTTAGAGAAGCCCAGCCCCAGGCCCCAGTTGCTGGAGATTGAGGACTGATTGAGATTGGAGGTCTTGGAGACCAGATCTCCCTCATAGAGGTGATGACCTGATGTTGTATGATGGGATGTCGTGGACTTGCTGATAGATGATGGTTGATGGACTTCTGTGTGGGAATCAATGAGAACTAGTATGTTTGAATCAGATTGATGAGAAATTTGATAGATTACAAGTCGACATTTTTGCTAGACACGTTCTTCAAAACAACTAACATTTTCAAAAAAACACAGAACACCACAAATCACAAAAACGCGTAAAAACCACACCCGCATAACGTCGTTTTCTGTATATATTTGTATATGCTCCCCCAAAAAACGTCTACCTTGTTCCTTCTTTGGTCCTTCAAACGCAGACTTGTGAAGAGATGGAACAGACGCAAACACCAAAGAACGCCACAAACTCATATTCAAAGCCACTCAGCTCATCAACTCATTTGTCACATCACCGTCCCATGCAAAGAGATTTGGGCTCTTCATTCTCCTCTTCAATTTCCTGACTCCATCGGATGGCATTCACGAGGTGACTAAGCATCTGCATTCCATGTCTCAATCTTCGATCTCGGGACGGACTTCTTCGTGGAAGAAGAGGATGAAGACAGTTTCTTTGCTCTTTTTGCTGGTGGATCTGCGCTTCCCTCGCTACTTGAAGACAATGTTGATCCCTGATCCTTGTCTTCCACCACTGGAGGAGCTGGCAAAACCATCAGTGGTTTCTTGACCAAGGCAGTCGGCGACTCTTTCTTTGCGACAAGTTCTCCACGAGGACTTTGTCGGCCTCATCCAGCCCCTGAGCATCCTAATCTGGAGCTGCAATTTCTTTTGAACCATGACCAGTGCAGACTTCACTGCCTCCCTTGTCATCGAAGTTTGTCCCCAGCCTTCAATCTTCACTTCAATCCAGGAGGCTGGATTGAAGAAGTGTTTTTTCCGGCTCGGTTGAAGAAAAAATACAAGCCTTCAATCTTCAATCCAGGAGGAAAACGTATTTTCCCGGCTGGTTCGAAGTCTTTCCCCGGCCTTCAATCTATTGAAGAAGTCTATATGTTCTAAGCCTTCAATATTCAATCAGCTGGATTGAAGAAGCGTTTTGCTTTTTTCTCCCAGCCTTCAATCTTCAATCCTGGACGGAAGGCTCGTTTGCAAACATTTGAATTTGCAAACGCCCTTGGAGACAATTTCCCAAGTACACATACCACAACCGTGGCTATAAATATATCTATAGATTGGTACCCATTTAAGCCTCAAAGTTCCCCCCCCTCAAACATATGTTGCAAAAATGACCTGAAAACACTGTGAATGCCAGTAAAGCATTTAAACATTGTAGACTTGAGGTTTTGGGGGAGGGGCGTATACTGTATAGTAGTGGTCTGTGAGCAGTGCGTGGGGGGGTTGCTTTGAACCCTCGGGCGTAGGTGGGCGGGTTCGCCCACAGGTTCGCCTAGATCGATCCTCCCGGCAGCCAAGCGACTGAGCGCTTGGAAAACTAGTCCGCCCACAATGAAGAAGCGAGGCCGGACATCGTATTGGCCCCTTCCAACAGGGACAGAGTCGGAGACGCGTTTCAGCAAAGATCGGAGATGGCAAACCAATACATGCCATAAAACTGGTGAAATCAATGTGTGAGAGACAAATCACATGCATCATGACATGGGCAGTTGGTCCCTTTTTCAGCAACCCTGGCTAGAATTATCGTGAACATGACTGGAATTATCACATGACACAGGGGCTTTAAGCCAAGGTTTCCGGCAAAAGTCCTTGGTCATTTGCCTGAATCCTTGTGTTTCATCGTTTTTTTTCTTCAAACCTGCTCTAGAAGTCCTGTTTTGCAATATTATCCCTGTTGACTTAGGCCACACGTGCTTTCTACCAGATTTACTTTGCCTGATGACTTGGAACGCTGTAATTTTGAGGTAGCTCCGTTAACTCCTTAGTCCTTAGCCTCCAGTATGATGACCTCTCCTATTTTGGATCACTGAGGGCAAATCTGCAAAGCAAGGGGTCTGATGCACAAGGCCGTCCAAAATATTATTTGTGCTACAAGTTCCTGTGCAAAAAGTTCTACTCTGCAGGGCCATGCAGTCAACATCCAACAAATTTGAATCTCCTTCTCAGCCTGCTCTCCACATGCAAGATGTTCCACCATGGAGCCTATACACTCTATTGTTGGATGCGTCACTATTTGAGCAACATCTTGAATCCGGGTCGGTTGACCGAAGGGCAACATCAGAGTTGGTTCCACAAGCAGTTGGTAGTTTCCAACATCCGTCTACTGGTGAAGGTTTCTTTCAACAACATCAACACAAATCCAAGTTCCTTTCACCGTACGGTGGGGAGCCTCCCGACCTGGCTGGGGTTAAGGGGCACACAAATCGCTGGGTCGGCCTAGTCCCACATCTTCGATCTGGTTCAACATTGAAACTTGACACAAAAGCGCTGATTCGAAGGATTCCACGTATATAAAGTCCCTGAAACAGCACTTGGTGCCAAAAGAATCCTGGAACCTCCCCCCACTAACCCCCTGATCAAAAATGGTTCCAAGCTGCCAAATTCTAGGGCCTCAGAAGCACATTGCTGGCCAAATTTGGAATGAAATCCCACAAAGACTTGGATTTGCTGAAGGAACCGGAGGAAAATACAATCACATTCTCACCAGGTTTGGGAATTTACCCACAAGGGCCTTAAGGGAAAATAAAACACATAGGAAGAGGATGGATGGCGGATCCCTTTTCGACTCCTCACCTTGGCACCAGGTGCTGTGCGGGTCGGAGCACCTGACACGCCAAGGGGTGAAGCGAGTCGCGGGTGAAGGGCCAAGCGGTGTGCTTTGCGGCGGAGGTCAAGAACATACAGGAAAATCTTGGAATGAGTTCAGGCTTCATCTTCCCAGAAGCGCTAAACTGAGAATGTCTGAACAGAACTGACACTGCAATCACTGGACATCTGAACTGCATCCTTTCTCCTTCGTGTCTCGTTCCTTGCATTCATGCGAGCAGGCCGGCCCAGCCCATCCCAAACCAGCTAGATCCCAAACCAGCCAAATCCCCACCCCTA